CTATCTATCTATCTATCTATCTATCTATCTATCTATCTATCTATCTACCTATCTATCTATCTACCTACCTACCTTCCTATCATCTATTTGGTTTTTAGAGACAGGGTTTCTCTGTGTAGCCCTGACAGTCCTGGAACTCACTCTGTAGACCAGGCTGGACTACAGAAAGATCCTCATGGCTCTGCCTCCCGAGTGCTGGGATTAAAGACATGTACCACCACTGCCCCACATTGCAAATACTTTTTAATGCATCTATATCTCTATCACGTATTTAGTAAGTAAGAAAAAAACAGTTTAATGTTATTATATGTAAGATTATGAGGGGATCATGTCATCTTAAATAGGTACTTGGAACTTTGAGGTGTAATGATCTAAGAGCCACTTACTCGGAATCAGTTTTTTACACTTGAAATAAGCTCATAGCGATTCTGCTATAATTTATTGTTTTTTGCTCTCACCTTTTTTCCAAATTACTGCTGAGCTGATAGGACAATCAATTGCTTTCCTATGTGAAGTGTTTTCACATTTGTTGACTGTCTCAATGAACAAATTTGTAAATATACATTTATCAGTTTTGCAAAGCAGCACAACCATTTACAGGACCCAAGACAGTGCTATCACGGTGTATTTATCAACTGTTTAGTGCCTTCATGTCAACACAATTGAGACAGAACTGGAACTTATGCACATTTATTATGGTGAATGGGAAATGGGATTAAATCATGAGATTGTCAGGCAGCATATATCAAAACAGAACAAAAGTGTGGAGCCTTCCTCGGGCTTTCTACCCTGTGTGATCTTACTTCCTCTGGCCCTCAGGAGCAAATGAATCCTGCCTGCCCCACCATAAAGGTGTGGAGTTTAAAGAAATGGGGGTGCTTTGTTTGTAAGAACAGATCTTAGACCCTTAGCTGCTGCATTGGTTGTTTCCAGGCTTCCTCCTGAGTGGGCTGCTTGAGCCCAGCGACTGATTGTGATCCTAACAGCTTGTAAATCCAGGGACCATATGGCTGGGTAGCATGTTAAACTCTCATGCACTTTATCCTGCCGTGCCTGACCCATCAGACAGAACACATCTTTCCTTTTCATTCAGTCTTCCTGAAGACTCCAGCGTCTCTTCTTCTACTGCGCCAAGACTCACCTCCCTGTTCTTTGTGTAAATGTTTGGCTCTC